TCACACTACCAGCCTTCTCTGCGCCAGTGACCCCGGGCAGGCGCAGCCCCCTCGCCCCCTGCGCAGAGGGACCCACTCACAGCGCTCGGGGGAGGAAGGCTGCCATCCTGCTGCGTGCTGCTCTCCTCCGCCTGCCCGCCCGTGCCCCGAGCAGCAGCGGGCTCGGGAGCGCGGGGCCCCTGTGGGCACGACTCCTCCTGAGCTGTGCTCTCCTCCTGCTGCAAGATGCCCCGTCTGTCCAAGACGCTGCAGGAACAGAATCGCACCGTCAGAGACCCACGCCTCCCCCGAAGCCGACTCCTTTTCCTGGCAGGAAACTGCTCTCCTCCGCCTGCCCGCCCGTGCCCCGAGCAGCAGCGGGCTCGTGAGCGCGGGGCCCCTGTGGGCACGACTCCTCCTGAGCTGTGCTCTCCTCCTGCTGCAAGATGCCCCGTCTGTCCAAGACGCTGCAGGAACAGAATCGCACCGTCAGAGACCCACGCCTCCCCCGAAGCCGACTCCTTTTCCTGGCAGGAAAACTGCTGGTGGAAGACAAATATCAGGTGAAGGGGCTCCTCTCCAAAACAGGCTGTGCACGGCCCAAACCTAGCTGGCAGTGTCTACGTTCCTCCTGTAAAAACCAAGGCCCTTGGAGAGCAGCCCAGTTCAGAGGGTGGGAGCCCACCAAAACCAGTGCCCTGGACAGAGCCTCTGCCCCATACACTGCCCCAGCGAAGGGGAGTCACTTCTCCACCAGCTTCCCAAGCACATGGTGATAGGGAGCACATCACAAAAGATGCAAGGAAGGCGACACAAGACCTTCCTCCCCAGAGCATCCAGACATGTCCCAAGTGACCTCCAGAAGCCCTCAATACACGCAGCGCTGGCAGAAGAGCAGCCAGGTCTTGTACCCAAGCAAGGAGAGCTCCACAGGGTCCTGCACCGGGCTCTGGGGCAAGAACGGCCGGGCTGCTCCTTGAGAGCTTACCTGGGGGGCAGAGGCCCACAGAGCACCTCGCAGCAGTTCTTCACTATGTTGCCATGGCTGTAGGGATTCTGCACACGGTTCTTCCCGGTCCAGGACCCCTTAATCTGCAATAGTGAGGGCATGAGCTCAGGTCTGCTCCATCGACACCTGCCTCCAGCCCACGGAGCCCTGCTTAAGCCCGCGGGGCATGGCAGCAAGGTGGACGCAGCCATGGCACACTGAGGAAGCGATGAGAAACAGAGATGGCTCAGAGGAATGGAAAGACTCTACTTACATCTTCGTTGGTTGTCTGATTCAGTGCCACCAGGAAGGTGTGGAACCCAGTTAACCCCACCACTGACCACAGGGTGAAGAAACAGATGAGCACCTCCAGTACAGTGAGAACAGTTAAGGACCGGGAACAGCCTGGGAACAGTCCCAGCCCAGCTGTGTCACTACCCCCAGGCACACTACCCTAACTTCTCCTCTTCTCCCAGACATGGTTTTCTGTTCTACCCTCCTCCCAAAAGCCATAAAATTGCTCCTCGCCTTGTAATCACTGGGAAAACTGAACTGAAAGACTTCTTAGAGAAGCCTAGGCATCGAGACTCCAGTCCCTCCATAATGCAGCTCACACTAACCCCCAGCTTTGGAGAAGCCAACCACCCCGTGCTCTGGAAGGATATGTCCCTGGGGTTTCCTTCAACGTGTTCAGAAACCCAATCTTCAGAGATTCTGGCAATACAAAGAGAGAGGTATTTTTTATTCTAGAATATCACACTGAGTCCAGTTCCCTTTCCCACTCCATCCCAGGTTAGCAACACCATCTGTATCCCCCCCTCCCTTAGCCAGCCCAGCCATCCACCTCTCTGCTGCCAGACTCACTCAGTGCTACGTAGACTATGTTGAAGGTGAAGATGTAGATGGTGAGGAGTGAGAGCGAGAGGATGAAGAGGTAGAAATAGCGGTAGTTCCTCTTCCCCACGCAGTTGCCCACCCAGGGACAGTGATGGTCGAAGCGCTCTGTGAAAGCGAAGACGGAGATCAGTGCTGCCCTGGCACAGTCCCGCCTGTGTCCGACGCTTACTGCTGTGCCCCCATCTCAAAACTGCCAAGGCTGACAAGGACTCCTCTGGGCAGTCAAGTCTGACCCTCTGCTAACTCAGGGCCCCGTATCATGGCTCTCTTCCAGAAGGTAAGAAAGTGCAAAACCACTTCACTAGTGAGTCATTTTGCACATTATGATAGAGTTTAAGAGCCTGGCCTCGTGCGTGTCTTCCCTCCCAGGGCCCCGAGGTGTAACAGCGCGTACTACAGCAGGTTAGACGGCAGCCTGGGAGTTCAGAAGTTCTTATCTAACCCATGTGCCACTTACTCACACTGGAACAATTAGAAGAGGGTTCAAGGAACCGTATAAAGATTCAAAGGGCTGGGAACCTGCAGAGGAGGAAAGGGATCCAAAAGAACGGCATTTCTTCCTGGAGACGGGATGCTGAACACGAGCCAATTAAGATACACAAAAGGGCTGCGAGAGCTTCTGCTACGCAGCACGGGGAACGAAAATCAGGGGCGCTCAGCGCAACGGCAGCAGCTCCGCGCCGACACAAGGGGCTGCCTTCACGCAAGACACAGCTCTCCGCTGGAACCCTCTGGCCCAGCAAGGCCAGCAGTTCAGTCAACCTCAAAAACGGATGGCACATTCACATGGACAAGCTCAGACTTCTGTTAGACTGGTCATTGCCAAAGAACTACCAGCAAGACGAACCATCTGGCTTCAGGTTCTGAGCAAATCTCTAGCTCCTTGAGCTTAAGATGAGGCAGACTGTCCCCGTCTGTTCATACAGCACCATTCTGGACTCGCTCAGCATCCGCAGTGAGACCTGATACGGAGCGAGACCAGGCAGCGACCTTCACCCGTTCCCTTCCAAAGGCTCTCACCGAACGCCAGGGGCAGGAGCAGGCACGGCCTCTTCTACTCACCCACACAGTTGTCGCAGATGCTGCAGTGAGAGGCACGGGGCGGACGGAAGATCTTACACGTGTAGCAATACTTCAGCTTCACGATCTGGTTGTTGATCTGGAAGTTTTTAATCCGTGGGGGCGGGCGCTGACCCTGCGGCACGGTCCCGTTGGTGGCCTCTGAGAGAGACAACCAAGCAGGGATCAGACCTGCTGCTACATGACAGGCCTAGAAGGACTACTCGCCTCCCTGCTTTTCCTACCAGTGGAATCAGAGTCTGCGGGGTTTGGAGCCAGTAGCTGCAGCTTTGCTCACATGGTCCAGAGCCAACCTGGCAGCTTGGCGGCAGGAAAATGGATGCCAGAGCTTTCATGGGCATATTGAGAGGGGCCGAGGGGGTGTGTGTCACTGTACAGACCCGCATCCACCAAACTTCCTCTCTACCCGAAGGATCAAGAGGCCCACACCAAGCTTCCTGCACCCCTTCCCAAAACCCAGTTTATATATACGCAGCTACGAGAGAGAAAACGGCATGTGGAAAGGCGCCCAGAAAGGGCAGCGGGCACATCGCACAGACACAGCCCAGCAGAACCAGCCAGCGGGTGCTACGATGCCCCATTTGGGGAAATCCTCGC